GAGAGAGAGAGAACAAATGCAAATACAGGGCCGGGTGTGGTGGTGCACGCCTTTAATCCCAGCACTCGGGAGGCAGAGGCAGGTGGATCTTTGTGAGTTCAAGGCCAGCCTGGTCTACATAGTGAGTTCCAGGACAGCTGGGGCTACAGGGAGACCCTGTCTCAAAAAGACAAAAAAAAAAAAAAAAGATTATACAGGGCTGAAGAGACAGCGGTTAAGAGCACTGGCTGCTCTTGCTGAGGACCCAAGTTTGATTCCCAGCACCCACATCAGGCAGCTGCTCACAAGCACCTATAACTCCAGCTTCAGGGTATCTAACATCCTCTTCTGGCCTCTATGGGCACTGTACTCACGTAGCGCACATACATATATACTCAGGCACACATACATACACATAAAATAAATAAATCTTTTTTGAAAAGATTATGAAGAGTTACACAAATTACAGCAAATGAAAAGAAAAAAAAAAGACTTTTCAAGGGTCTGTAGCTTAAACAAACTAGTAAGAAAGAAAGAAGGAGCCATCCCTTTGCGGCCTTTATAACTGCATAAAAGCTACAGGTTGCCATGTTGCACTTTCTGCCTGTTCCCAGCACTATCCTTGCAACTTAAGTAATTCACTGAAAATGGTAATCTAATAAACCCCATCTCAAGATGCATAATACTGCACAAACCCCTTTGGCTGTAGAATGGCTAGTTTGAATAGCTAGGTAGCAGTGGGTTGGTTTCTTGGAGTACTTGAATACCAATTATCCAGGTGAGGGGAAAGAAAAGTACAAGTCAGAACTTTTTTTTTTTTTGGCTCTTTGAAGCAGGGTCTCCCTGTAGCCCCAGCTGTCCTGGAACTCACTGTGTAGACCAGGCTGGCCTTGAACTCACAGAGATCTGCCTGCCTCTGCCTCCCAAGTGCTGGGATTAAAGGCATGTACCACCACGCCTGGGTAAGTCAGAACTTTTAAGGCCCACAAGTGTGAGGACCTGAGGTGGGCTCCCCAGGACCTATGTGAAAAAACCAGGCCTGGTGGCACATGCCTGTCATCCCAGTGCTAGGGAGGGGGAAGCAGGAGGATTCCTAGGGTTCACTGGCCAGATAATCTAAATAACTGGTGAGCTCCAGGTTCACTGAGAGACCCTGTCTCAAAACATAAAGTGGATGGGCTGGAGTGCTGCTGGCTCAGTGGATAAGAACACTGGCTGCTCTTGCAAAGGACTCAGGCTTGATTCTCAGCACCTATGTTGAACAGCTCACAACCACTTATAACTTATAGCTCTAGGGAATCCAATGTCCTCTTCTGGTCTCCATGGGCACTGCACTCACATGCACATATCCACAGTCAAACACACATACATTCAAATAATTTTTTTTTCTGTCTTTTTGAGACAGGGTCTCCCTGTAGCCCTAGCTGTTCTGGAACTCATTATGTAGACCAGGCTGGCCTTGAACTCAGAGAGATCCGCCTGACTCTGCCTCCTGAGTGCTGGGATTAAAGATGTGTGCCACCACGCCCAGCACGTTCAAATAATTAAAAAAAAATTTTTTTTAACTTTAAAAAACAGAGGCACTATTACTTGCTGTTAGTGGGTGTTCTGTGCACAGTAAATGTCTCATCTGGCTTAATAATCATGACTTTATTAGGTGGGTGCTGAGGAGGAAACAGAGATTATCAAATAACCTGCCCAAGGTTATACAGATCTTAAAGATCATCCTGCTATGTCCTTAACTACACATTATTCATAATGAAATTTCATGTACAAGTTTCAGAAGGAAAGATATCTAGAAATATTTAAATAGAAAAGAAAATGTATTCACTGAACTGACGTTTAAAAAGAAAAAGAGAACCCCTCACACACTCCAACAAGTTTCAGTATGCTTGCCAAAAAGGAAAAAAAAAAAGAAAAGAAAAAAACCCAGCAAATTGATTCCAACCACTCTGTAATTTCATTTATATTTAGAACATGAACGGGGCTGGGCATGAATATGTAATGAATATATATGTGTGTCTCTGTGTTAACACCCACGGTATTCAAAACCTCCCCCCAAATGCGGAAAGTTTGTTCCAATTCTCCTCTATTTTGTCTACTTTCAGAATTCTTTGCAATATGCTTATGTAAATACTGCACTTCTCTGCTGTTCTCATCTCTCAAATCTTCTGCTTTTTACACAGATTGGAAAACTGACAGACCTAAGCAGACATCTTTGGAACACAAAACCAGAGATAAACAAATATAACCAGATGGAAAACAAAGCCTTCTTCCCCAAAACCCCTCAGCAGAACATGACTGATACAGTCAAAAGAGTCAAAGAAAAATCCAATACATCAGTTTCACCTTCCAGGATGGACATACCCAGGCATTCATTCTCTCTCTCTCTCTCTCTCTCTCTCTCTCTCTCTCTCTCTCTTGCAAATATGGACTCTTAGATGCACAGATTCTAGTGAGGGGGTGTTTTATGAACAAATATAACAGATAGCTTTTTACCTTAGTTTACTAAAAGCTCTCTAATACAGCATGAAAACTATAGGAAGATTCTGGAATGAGGAGAGATGCTGAGGCTTAGGAGAATGTTGAAGAAACCAGTTCTGGGCTGTTACCTCACAAAGGCGAGGGACCTTGGCTTTCTCATACATGACCTTTTGTGATTTAATTACATAAATTAGCTCACCTCATTGGCTGTGCAGGTGATTTTCCACCATCCCCATTTCAAAAGGACATGGAAGAGGATTAATGAAAGGGGAAAATTTAGTATGCAACTTACCTGATCCCAAACTTAGTAAAGAGCTATTCTGATACAGCAGAGCACAGTGAACAGTATGTTGGAGAGGGGGAAACTAACAAAAGTTTTAAGTACATTAACTCCATATAAAAGTGTGAAACTCTCTAATGAGAAAGTGGGTTCCTAAAATCAGTTTGGTAAGTAAGACCAATGGAATGACAGTTGAAAGAGAGATGAGTTGATGGAAGCTTGGCTAGTGCACCAACACCAAGGACATTAGAGTGATAACAGAACAACAGGATATAGAAAACACATTCGAAGAGGGACGTGTTTATCCCTGTTGGGAGCCCAGCAGACATCTGGTACTCATCTTCTCCATGTATGTTGATCACATGGCAGTTCTTGATATAAGCAAAGTAAGTCTATTTTACCAAAGCAACTCCAGAAAAATAAGAAAGTTTTACAGCTAACCAATGTTGACTGAGCATATAAAAATTCCCAAAGCCAGCCAGGTGTGGTGGCGCACGCCTTTAATCCCAGCACTCGGGAGGCAGAGACAGGAGGATCTCTGTGAGTTCAAGGCCAGCCTGGTCTACATAGTGAGTTCCAGGACAGCTGGGGCTACAGGGAGACCCTGTCTCAAAAAGACCAAAAAAAAAAAAAATCCAAAGCGTATTTAAAGATTTACTACTTCTAAGATACATTATTAGAGAATAAAAACAAGCATTCTTAAAACTAAAAAGAAGAATTTGATGAAAACCAAAATGAGAATGTGGACTCTCAAGGTGATTTTCTTCTTCTAGGGACAATAAAAAGGTACTAGAATGCTCAGGCTATAATTGAACAAAGGGAAAGGGAAGACCATGGTCTTATTTCTAAAGAAAAGAGAGAGGGGGAGGTCAGGGAGGAGAGGGAGAGGGAGAGGGAGAGGGGGAGAGAGAGAGAGAGAGAGAGAGAGAGAGAGAGAGAGAGAGAGAGAGAGAGAGGAGTGAGAGAAGAGGAAAAAATAGCTTGCGCAGGAGAACAGATACCAACAGCCTCCAGATTTTACTTCCAGCATCTCAACCCACACTCAGCCTGGTGTGAAGATGGCAGATGGTACCACGTCTGTTCTTTCGGCTGCTAAAGCAAGACACTGAACGTACCCTGCTTGTTTCTGGAAGCATGAATATTCAGGCCCAGCAAGCAGAAGCAGCCATAAGTGAGCTAACTATGTGAAGCTGGGCCCGAGTCTTCACTATATTACAAATTAAGAGCAAGGTGTGGGGGAGCCTTTTCTGATTAGCTGAGAAAAGACTTGGTATTCAATGAAATGATGCTGGTTTCTGTATATTCAGTGTAAATACAGTGAAATAAACAAGCCAGCAGAAGAAAGCAGTTGGTGAGTTAGAGAACAGCATTGAAGTGAATGGACTGAACTGGTACTTATTTTCCTGTTTTGTGTAGGCCTGTGCTCAAAGTCTTTCTCAGAAAACACTGGACAGGCCTTACAGTATTACATCTTCCTTTAAAAACACATGCCAGGTTCCTGCAAACATCATAGTAAACTTTCAAATTGGTATGTTATCCTGTTGTGTAGATAACACCAATTTCTCAATCTTTCTCACTTGTATATTGAAGAGGATTACTGAATCCAAAAAGGATAATTTTGCTGTAAAAATTTAATGATACAATCGTTTCTCTGTCTATGAATGACAGATAATGTGATAATCCCAAAAATAATTTCCTCCATCCTCACTCCTCCCATAAAGACAGAGAGTACAAGGACCAGGAAGAAAATAATGGCTCTGTATTTACAAAAATGAGGACTTCAGTGTTTGCAAGACATAAAAAAGCTTGATAGAGGCTGCCTACCAGAATACGAAAGAAACAGGGCCTAGAATTAAGGAACAACAACAAAAGGGCAATCCACTGTGTATTAAAAAACCTCTTCAAACCTTGAAGACGGCAAGAACCCTGGTAAGTAATCTGAATCTAACTGCCTGGTAACACTTGTCACTAAACAAACAATTATGGAGTTCAGGTGGCAAGAGCATTCATGCCTCTCTGAGTCTCTCACAGTGCCAGGGATGGGACAAACAAGCTAAGTGTCTCAACCCAGGCAGGTGTCAAATGATGCCCAGGGCTCAGCAAATAAAGCAATCCTCCATGAAAAGGTCAAAGAGTGCTCTTTGGACTGAGAGGGATTCCTTGAATATTATTTTTTCACACTGAAGTGAGCATTTATTATAGAAGTGAGCGGTCATCAACATGAGGCGCAGAGGTGGAAGTAGAGAGATGGACTTACGAAGTAGCCTGTTCCCAAGCTGGATGGAGCGGAACTCTGCAGAGAAAGCACAGACACAGGGTGGGAAGTCAGTGGTGGTTTTAACACATTCTGATCCATACAGCTCATTAACAGCCCTCTACGGGCTTTTCATGGTGACTGTGAGGCCCCCTGTCATCTGCTGCTGATACAAGACACCATGTTGCTTAATTTTCCCCTTTACATCTCTCAGTGACGCGGAGATGCTAACGTGCTATTTACTGGATTCCCAGCTTTTGCGGTGGACGTAATTGCCAATTTATTTGACAGGCAGCTGGGTAATGAATTAATGATGGTATTTCGCCCTGCACTGAGACTGAACAGGCACACAGCAGCCTGCCTCCCCAGCTTGCTGACATTCAAGGCCCTGGTCTCAAGCTACTTGGTTTTGTGGCCACAGAGAGGCAAGCAAGAGGAAAAAGCCCAGACTGACTTGAAAACAAAAAGCCCGATGGGTTTGGATGACTTTTTGGTATATGACCTACTTGCCAGTTCATTCCCTGAAGGCTCCGTTAGTACACACTTGGTACGTTGCAAAAATGAGACATTTTGTAAACATAATTAGTTGACTAAAATGCAAAGAATATGGGGGCAGAGGGAAGCAGGGAAAAAAGCAGCACTTTTCAGAAAGTTTCGTCTCAAGAATATCAATTTAGGCTGCCATAACTCTGACATGGGGAGCCAATAAAAATGAATAATTCTGTATTGAACTCTGAGTATCACATACTGAGGCAAAGAAGTCAAAATACAAAAGTCATTTTTGTATATTTTCTTTCTTTCTTTTTTTTCTTTGAAACAAAATCTCATGCAACCCAGGCTAGTCTCCAACTCTATGGGGCTGTGATTACAGGCATATACCACTATGACCAGTTTAGGGGGTGCTGGAGATGGAACCCAGGGCTTCATGAATGGTAGTCAAGCACTCAACCAACTAAGCTACATCCCTAGGCCCCAGCCCTTTTTTAGAAATGGTGACTGTGTAGCCCAGGCTGGTCTTGAACTTATGATCCTTCTGCCTCTATCTCATGAGTGCTATGATTACAGGCTTGCAACACCAAGTCCAGTTTTTGCTGGATATCAAACACAGAGCCTCATGCAAGCTAGGCAACTCTGTTCTACCAATGGAACCAAAGCCCCACCACCCCAACACTTTTGTTAGAAATGATCTCTGTGTAGCCTAGGGTGGCCTCCAACTCCCTATGTAGCTGAGGATGGCCTTAAACTTCTGATCCGCCTGCTTCTACCTCCTGAGTACTGGGATTACTTGTGTGCCACCATGCACTCTATCAAAGCAGCTTCAGCCTAGGTCTGGATCCTTTTTGTTTATATGCTGTTGTTCTTTCTCTAAAATCTGTCTTAACAAATAATTTAAAGTTTGGCATCTTCTTTCTGAAGAAGGAAGGTCCTAAACAAGCTTGAAATGAAAATAACCTGGTGCCAAGTCTTCCAGCCCCAGTTCAGCAGCTTTGCTGGAGTGGGGCATTTGCCTTCTCTGGAGAAGCCTGACCTCCACCTTGATTCAGGAAGTATTAGGTTGACTTTTAGCTCTTCCACCTACATATCCTACATGTCCTATCCCATACTCTTTAAATGATTTGTGAGAGGGGACATGTGCCCACACATCATCCCTAGCACACAAGGTGAACTGGAGAAGCACTGAATGAAATGATGTACAAATGAATGGATAGATGATGGGATGGGGAGGTTACAGAGGATTTGACCTCTCTAAAACCACAGTGAATGTGATTCTTGTTGACTTTGGGCTCAGACGGTATACTAGCTACTTTTCTTGTCTGTTTATACTCAAACACCTGACAAAAGTAACTTTAAGGAAGCTATGCTGTTTAGTTTTTGTCACCTTGACACAAAGTAGAGTCACCTGGGAAGAATTGTCCCCACCAATCTGGCCTGTAGGTATGACTGTCTGGCTTTTTTTTTTTTTTTTTTTTGAGGATGCTTAGGCATGTTTGCAATGTTGAAAGAGCTTTGTTTTTAACAGAAAAGTTTGTAA